CGCTTTGACCCCCATGAGCCTGTCGAGCTCGCGATCCACGAAACCCGGGCTCCCCCCCCCCCCCCCTCTCATCCTCCCCCCCCGGTGTTTGCCATGGGGGTTGGGTTTTCGTCGCTTGGCAACGACGTTGTAAAACAAGCCGCCCCCCCCGGTGTTTGCCATCGGGGTTTGGGTTTTCGTCGCTTGGCAACGACGTTGTAAAACAAGCCCCCCACTCGGTGTTTGCCATCGGGATTGGGTTTTCGTCGCTTGGCAACGACGTTGTAAAACAAGCCAATTCACTTCGTGAACTCGGCAACCAGGTTACTGTTTTTTTTTTTTGGCGGTAACCATAATGGTGGTCGAGTAGATCATGTTGTGCGGGGTGGAGAAACCTCACTCCGCGCAACGGGGGATGATCGTACCACGTTGTGTTAAAATGGTCAAGCTTCCTCGAGGCAGTTACACAGTGCTTACAACTGTCTCTGGAAGTAAAAGCACCAGAAAGTAAATTAAGTCATACGTAGCTGTCATCCGTACGCAAGGAGGTAAGCACAAGATGCTGAACACCCTTAGCAGGATGCAGCTCACCCTTCATGCGACTCGCCAAATACCTCACGGCGCTTCGCGCTTGGTGATGTGAGAGCCTGGTCCGGTGAGAACCCGGCGTGCTCCGTCCCGGCTTTGTAGGGATGCGAGGTCAATGGTCAAACGACTACGGCATGCACGACTATGAGTACACCCCCCCCCCCCCCCCCCCCTCTCACTCCCACTTGCACCGTACTCCTGTACTCTCCTGTTTTTGTTTCTTTGCTCCTCTGGGCGACGCAGAAACGCGATCAGTGTCGGAAACCACGTTAGCGTGGACAGAAACGGTTACGAGGGGAACGTACGACGCACCCAAGCGGACGGCGGAGTTGTACGCCCCGGACGCGATTCTCTGGGGAACGGAGGTCTGCGGTCCCGACGACGACCTTTGGGGAACGGTCTCCGAAACGGTCCGCGACACTCCCGAGCAGATCTACGCCTACTTCGTGAGTTCACTTTGTTGCTACTTCTGCTGTTGCTGTGCTGATGTGGATCGGCAATGCGGACGTCCCATGTTAGACGCCATCGCGTTGAAGCGTCAAAAATATTGTGTCCTGCCTACTCCGTCTCCTACATCCACCCGCGACGTGCCGTCGCTCCTGTAACTGTTAATAGCTACCACGGGTAGACGTTGGACGCGTCGCTTTCCTCAATGAGCAGTTCGACTTGGCATGCGTACATGCGAAATGACACCGCTGTCATGCAGCCTTTGCTCCTCCTCCTCCTCCTCCTCCTCCTCCTCCTCCTCCCCTTAAGAACTTCCCGCACGATGGTTGACTCAACGACCGCTGTTGCTGGCTTTCCCGAAACTGAGCTAAATAGATACAAATGTGACGAAACGCCCCCGTTGAAAGAAATATTATAGTATGCAAAGAGCACTCCACCCGTCCGTCCGTCCGTCCGTCCGTCGTGTATCATGTTTGTTTGACAGTTGGATGCATATATCTTTCCCGAAACTGAGCTAAATACAAATCTGACGAAACGCCCCTGTTGAAATAAATATTATAGGATGCAAAGAGCACACCGCCCGTCCGTCCGTCCGTCGTGTATCATGTTTGTTTGGCAGTTGGATGCATACAGCAGTTTATCAACACCCTTTCCTCGTAGCCACGTGCTACCCGGTTGACCCCCCCCCCCCCCCCCCCTCGATCGACGGCACCACACTTGCGTCCACTGCAAAAACAGGACTACTTCGCTCGACTCCCGGAGCTGAAGGTAGTGGAGTACACTCCGGCCCCCGTTCGCGTCTACGGCGACTTCGCTGCGCAGGCCGGCACCTACACGTTTTCGTGGCAGGGTACAGATGGTTCGACCGTCGAGATGCGAGCCCGCTTCAGCTTCACGTTCAGGAGGGCGGGGCCGAGCAGCCCGCAGCCTTGGACGATCGTGGAACACCACTCCTCCTCCATGCCCACGTCCCCGTTAGAGCTCGAATTAAACCGGGTGAGGGAGGGGTTGGTTGAGCGGTGGAACAAGGAACAACGCGCCCTTGTTTTTTTTGTGTCCTTGTTTTTTTTTTCTTGTGGAGGCCAGTTGGACTTTGCGTGGGCAAGGAGTATTGGCCCTTAGATGCTGACAGTCGATGTGCGGCAGCTGTTGAGAATACTTGCCCTCGTAGGCAGGAAAAAATTTAAGTGGCGTCCACTGCTTGGATTGTTGTGGTTGTGTGTTTATTTATATCAAGACAGGACAAACCTTTTTGAAAACCGCACGAAACGATGCATGTGCACCACCAAGTTCGTGCTTGCACTGCTGTTGAACCTAAATATGAAGCAACTGTTGCGTGCATCGAGTGCCTGCATGCCCCAACACAGCTCAGGGCACCAACCGCAACCGAAAGAAGCTTTCCTTACCCCCCCCCCTAATCACAACGCCCCCCCCAAATCACAAATGCAGGTTGGATCGAACACGAACCTGGCCGCCGCCGCTTCCGCCATTCCGGCACGAGAGGCCAAAATCGCATCCTCCACCGCGTCCGCCCGTTCCGCCGCCGCCGCTCCCGCTCCGGCACCTTCGCTCTCCGATCACCCCGACGCGGAAGGGCCAGAGGCGTCGGTGTCGGCGGCGTCGGCGGCAGAACCCGCGCCGGCACCGGCGCCTAAGGCTAGCCGATCGCCGATTTGGAGCGGGTTGTTCCGTGCCTTCACCAGCTCGGCGGCGTCCGCTGCTTCGTCCGATCAGCCGGCTGCCGCTTCTGTGGCTTCTGCCCCAGAGGCCATGACGAAGACAGCGGAAGAGGAAGAGGAGGCGGAGGAGGCCAGGGCGGCGGAGGAGGCTAGAGCGGAGATCGAGAAAGCAGCGGAGGAGGCCAGGGCGGCGAGAGAGAGGTCGAGAGCAGCGTTGGCGGCAGCAGAAGCAGAAGCGAGAGCTGCGGCGGAGACTAAGGGCGGCCGTGCGTCCAGCAGCGGACTGCACACCCCGCCGGGGCCCGAGAGCGAGCATCATGAAGAGGTCAGGGCTTCTTCGTCCGCGGTGTCGTCTTCGGCTGTCGCTAGGGAGCTTTCGTTCGATGGCGCTGGTGCCGGAAAAGACGTGAGTATCCGCAACGACCTCCGAGATAAAGACTGTACTGTACAAGTACATATTTTGCGTCCCCAATATTGAATGCTGAAGAAAAACCCGAAACAAAGCATTCACGTATATTGTCGTGCTGATATTTCTGTATATTGTATCCATATTTTGAGAGATGATCATGCCTTCTTTTTGTTCTTTTGGGTGGTTCTCTCACCCTCACTGCGCTTTCCCTTGAAGAAACGCTTGCTCTACCTTCCTGGCGCGCGTGACGAGCGTTTGTGATTTCGGCCCCCGTCGATCGAGAGCATTTTTTGGACTATGTTTTGTAGATGTTGATGGACCCGTTTCGCGTTTGATGTAGTTGGCCGTTGTTTGTATGGTATTGTTTTGTAAGTGATAGTGTTGTACGAAAGTATGTTATGTTTACATCACTGGTATTGCTTTGTAAGTGAAAGTGTTGTAGGAAGTATGTTTTATTTGCATCACTCTTGCTCTGGACCTGCGGAGCGGCATGCACTCCTGTATGCTGTAGCCGATTGATGATCGTCGCAATGCCGAAGCTGCTATGCGTACCTCTTCTGTCTTCTCTCGTGCCTTGTCTTGAATCAACGCGGCGGCGGTTGCTATAGGTTACTGAATTTAATGTTTTCCTGAAACCCAGGCACTCACAAAAAAGCTTCCTGTCTTTTGTCGTAGCCACTTGCTGCCTTCACTGGCCCCCTCAACAGCCACGGAGCCCCCTTGTCCTTGTAGGCGATGTCTTATGACAATCGGGAGTAACCTATAGCCTCTTCTCGCTGTTTACCAATGCTGCTGTGACACTCACGACCCCCGCCCCCTTCCTGTCCTTCCGCTGCTGCTGCTACTGCTTCACAAGGCCAAGATTCACGATATTACGGCGACGGTCGGCCCCCTAGGCCTAGGGCTGATGCTCGGGGAGGAGAAAGAAGGCACCCGATGGGTCGTTAAGGGATTTCGAGTCATGCCAGACGGAAAGCCCAACCCTGCCGAGGTGAGCTTGTCAACCATACCACGTGTTTTCTCTCGCTCTTGCTGTTCTGTCGTTCCCAATTTCTTTTGCTGTTTTTTGTATTTCGGTGGAAAGCCTATGTAAGCCTACAGAGGCGAGATTTTGATATTCTTCGCCCTCGTCTTGAGGTCTGGTCCGCAGGTTCAAGATAATTGTAGGTCGGGAGTCACGGGACGCACGTCCGTTGTGTATCTGTCGCCTGAGCTGTAGGTTGGGCACACGATTGACGTACATGTACGTTGCTACAGTAGCGCATCACGGGTGCAATCTCCCCAACGTCTCTCGAGGACGATTGATTGCTTGATTGCCTCTTTTCACGGCAGTTGGCTGGCTGTATGCTGTGTCACACGTCATTCGTTGTTTCGTGTTTGAGTATTGAAGTACTGTATGCATTCGGAGTGCGTCTCCCTTGTACATTCTGCGGCTGGTGTTGTTGGAGAGTAATGGCGATGGTGGTAATTTTCCGGGGGTATGCGGCAACAACGCCACCAGCTGCTTTAGACGTGCTCATGCCCGTGCTGACGCCACCGGTCCGACACTCACTCACTCTTCTTTCATTCCCCTCTTTTCCTTCTCTCGTCGTGCTCGCTGTGACCACAGGCGGCCGGTATCGAAGTCGGCGACACTCTCCAGAAACTGGGCGGGGTGCCCTTGGGCTCGTACAGAGACGGAATTGAGATTTTCAAGAAGCAAAGGGGCCCCGTCGTTCTCACCATTTCCCGCCAAAACGGTGCGAAATGATGTTTTTCCCGTTCCGTTGCCGTAACCGTTACCGTTGTAGGAGCCGTCTGTTGCCAGTTTCCAACCGGTACCAGCAGCACGAGTGATGATGTCGGACCAGCCGGCCGGAAAGGGAAGTTGGCCCGGACTGAAGAAAGTTACAAGAAATTATTTCCCCGCTGCTGGAGTGAGGGAAAGATGGGGGTTCGTTTCATTCTGTTCCGATTTTTTTTTTTTCCCCACTCTTACAGATGCGTTTTTGTTAGGATGTACCTCTCCATACTGCGGAGGATAGAAGCGCTATGTTTTTTCCGGACGATAGGGTTTGTATGTCCGGAAGTGTAACCTGCTCTGCAGCGTGGTTCTCATTTTTACCTTGTTTTGTTGGATGCACTTCCGAGAAATTTTCAATAAATATTTTCGTGGCCGCCGTTGGCTGGCTCTTTGCTGGCTAACGATTCGATCGGTTGGCTTGGGACATGACTAACTGTCGTTGATCACACACAAGCGCGTACCTAGTCAGGTCAAGGTCCAATGGGGCTGGCCGCCAACCCGATTTGGTGCTGATGGGCAAAAAAAGCATGTGCGGCAGGACGATTTGTACGTTCACCTCTTTGCGCGTTGCTCGTGCTCTCGGTGTGGTGATATTTTCTCTCTTGGGACCGTGAACTTAGTGCTTGATCAGTCCCCCTCTGCCATAAGCTCATGTTAAGTGTCCAAGCGTTTTAGTTCTTGTACCGGTGGCAATATGGAGAGGGAAAACTCCAATTAGAAGAAATCACAGACGGGAGAGGGGATTTTGTCGCCGCGGGCGAGTCATGTATTGTTGGGCAGCGGGGAGCTTTATTCTAGAGTCCGGGTGGTGTACAGGGGTGCTCGTAAGCGGAGTTTAGAGTAAGCTTCTTCCACCAAACTTCCTCACCTCATCCGGTTTATACATTATTTTCTCTGCTTGTTGTTCTGGGACGATACGATGTATGGCGGCTTTGTTGCTGTAGAGTTATTGGCTAGCGGTTTGGGGAGTTGGGAGGCCAACGTTACTTGTAGTTGTGCGTAAGAAGCCGGATGACTGGAACGGTCGTTCGTTAAAACCTCTAGTGATAGTTTTACATGTTAGTCAGACTCTCTCTCTTGCGTCAGCCGGCCCTGGTTAGTTTGATCGTGATGACGTGCTGGTAACCCTGTGCCCTCGGACAAGGACTGAGCTTGCCGGTTGGGTTGGTACCGGACATGTAGACGTTCGATGCAGAGACAATGACGGACTCCGACAACTTTTCAAGCATTTCACTAGCCAAGGCTTGCGTTTCTACACTCTTGGTCAATCACCCGCGGAAGCAGAAAGTTCGAGTTTTGAATCCCCCCCCTGCTATAGATCTCGCGGAACACGAATTACTAGCTTGGCTGGGCATGGGCACCGTTCACTGATTGAACATATGCGTCACGTACATGGCAATCTTGAACGATCACCCAGACTTGGGGCTAACCTGGGGCAAAACGCACGTCTGGCAATCTCTTTGAGAAACCCGCCTAGGCTTGTGTGTCGTTTGTCCGAATCACCTCCACCCTTAGCGTGGCGAGACGGAAGCCCGAGTGGAGAAGTGTGGATCAACGTCGGCATCAATCGACCACGCTTGAGCTGCTTGAACTTTTCTCCCTCTTGCCTCCTTGTTTTCCGTGTCGGCACTCGGTCGCACAAAAGAAGTGATCGTGAAATCGCTTTCTCTGATATATTTTCTTTTGTTTTGTGCACGGTTCTGGAAATTGTTTAGAACATTCCCAGATCCGTTCCTCGTAATACATCAGTATCTTGGTGTAGCAGCCTTTTCCAGTACGGCTTTGGGCAGCTATGAAACACCGCTGTTCCAACGCGGCCCTGTTTTGACGCGTTCTGTACGCCTAACGCGCAAGCTTTCTTGGGCAGTCTTTGTGGGCCTCTGCTGCACAGCAGCTAGCTTTTTGGGGTTGTCCACCGCCGAACCTCTGAGCTGAAAGCTGAGGATGCCATCTGAGCCCCCCTCACGTCTTGAATGATTGAATGAAGCCTTGGGTGTGTGGCCGGAGTGAACTTGGTAGATCAGATCAGAAATCCTACCGGTACGCTTGGAAGTGACGGGAACAGCAGAGATGCTGCCAGATGCATACAGGGACTTTCAACGATTGATTGTCAACGCAACCAATAGAAGAGGGGCGCCGTATAGGTTATCCGTCTTGTTCTTGTACGGACAGTCTAGCGATCACTTTGCTTCATGGTGCCGTGTGCCTTGGGTTCTACGACGGAAGTCTCGATTGAACCTCCTGACCAAGAAAAATGGGAGCTCTCTTGGCCAGCCGAAAATTGGTCGTGCGTCTTGCCCTTGGGTACTATGTCCATCGTAGTGAGTTTACAAGCCAGCCAGCTGTTGTGACACCGTTGAGTTCCCTTAAAATGGACGTGAACTATTGCCCTCCTCGGAAAAGGGTTTATCCACCCTTGTGTTGCGACCCACGGACGGCTGAGCAGCCCGCTTTCTATCCCTCTCTCTCTCTCTCTCTCTCTCTCTCTCTCTCTCTCTTTCTCTCCGCGCGAGACCAGCCAATTGTTGTAACAATTCATGCTTGCCGAACCTATCCGTTCGTTCGACTGATCTCTCACCCCGCCCGCACACGCCGCCGCCGCCGCCGTTCTTCCACGTCGTCACCGCATATTGTGTCCCTCTTCCTGCACCGCCTCCGCCGCCCCGTTTCACAGTACGCCCCCTGTTCAACGGGGTCGGCATGCAGTCGGGCCCGCCTCCTCCGTCCCTCTTTGCGGCAAGGCTAGTGTCCGCCCTGGAACACCGCGCCGAGACCGCGGAGCAGATCGCGGGGGAACGGGCGAAGCAGGTCGGGGAGCTCGAAGGCCGCGTCGAGAGGGCGGAGGCTCTGCAGAGAGACCTAGCGGAGCAAGTCCTGCAGCAGGAGACCAACGCGGAGACCGCCGAGCTTCTCGCCAAGGAGCGGGCCAATCAGATCGCGGAGCTGGAGGAGGCGAACGCGAAGCAGGTCGGGGAGCTAGAGCATAGGATCCAGGGCGCCGAGTCGGCGGTGGCCGCGGCGGCGGAGGCGGCGGTAGCGGCGGCGGAGCTGAGGGCGGCGGAGGACGAGCTGGGCGGGGAGAGCGCGAGGTCCCTCGCCGAAAATCGCGCCAGGGAGCTCTCGGCGGTCAAGGCGGAATCGGCGAGGCTCGTGGCCGACCTGGAGCAGCGCGTCAGGGGCGCCGAGTCCCTCGCGGCCGAGCGGGCGCAGCAGTCCGCCGCCTCCAAGGAGGCCGCGGCGAAGAAGATAGCGGAGCTGGAGCAGCGGGCGGAGAACGCGGAGGAAGCGGCGGCGGCCGCGGCGGCGACGGCGGCGAAGCAGCTCGGGGAGGTGCTGGAGCAGCGCGCCGAGAACGCCGACTTGTTGGCCGAGGAGCGGGCGAAGCAGGCCGCCGCCCTCGAGAAGGCCTCCGCGAAGCAGATGGAGGAGCTCAAGCAGCGCGCGGAGAACGCCGAGCTGGCGGCGGCGGCGGCGTCGACGGCGGCGGCGGTGGCGGCGCAGCAGATGGCGGGGCTCGAGAAGCGGGGCCAGAGCGTGGGGTCTCTGGCAGAGGAGCGGGCGAAGAAGATGGCCGTCTTCGAGGAGCGCGCACAGAGGGCCAAGTCTCTCGCCGGAGCGCAGGCGAAGCACATCGCGGAGCTGGAGCAGCACTCCGAGAGCGCGGCAGCGCTGGCGGCCGAGCGGGCCAAGCAGCTGTCGAACCTGGAGGCAACCACGGCGAGGCAGGTCGAGGAGATGAAGAAGCGCGTCGAGAGCGCCGAGTCCCGGGCGGCGGAGCGAGTGCAGCAGGCCGCGGACGTCGAGAAGGCGTCGGCCGTGGAGATCGCAAGGTGGAAGCAGCGCGCGGAGAGCGCCGACTCCGCGGCGGCGGCGGCCTCCGAAGCGGCGGCGCTGGCGGCGCAGCAGCGGGCGGAGCTCGAGAAGCGGGGCGAGAGCGCGGGGTCCCTGGCGGCCGAGCGGGCGAAGCAGATGGCGGTGTTCGAGGAGCGGGCGGAAAGGGCCAAGTCTCTGGCCGAGGCGCAGGCGAAGCACATCGCGAAGCTGGAGCAGCACTCGGAAACCGTGGCCTCCCTCGCGGCCGAGCGGGCGGAGCAGATCTCGAAGCTCGAGGTCACGACGGCGAAGGAGATCAGGGACCTGGAGAAGCGGGTCGAGAGCGCGGAGCAGACATCCTGCGAGCGCGCCAAGCAGCTCTTGGAGCTGGGCCACCGCGCCGAGACCGCGGAGATTCGCGGCAGGGAGGCCGGCAAGCAGCTGATGGACCAGGACAACCGGGCCGAGACCGCGGAGCTCCTGGCCAACACGCGGGCGAAGAAGATCGAGGAGCTGGAGGAGTCGACGACGAAGCAGGTGCGGGAGCTGACCCGTCGTGCGGAAGCCGCGGAGCTCTTGGCGACGGAGCGGGGCGACAGCCTCACGGAGTTGGAGGCGGCTCGGGCGAAGCAGGTGGAGGAGCTGGAGACCACCACGGGAAAGCAGATCGGGGACCTCGAGCAGCGCGCGGGGACCGCGGAGCTTCTCTCGATGAAGCTCGCCAAGCAGATCGCGGAGCTAGAGGCCGTGACGGCGAAGCAGGTGGTGGAGCTGGAGAGGAGGGTCAAGAGCGCCGACTCGGTGGCGGTGGAGCACGCGCACAAGATGGCGGTCTTCGAGGAGGCCTCTTGCAAGCAGATCGCGGAGCTGGAGCAGCGCGCGGAGAGCGCCGAGCTTGCCGTGGCGGAGGCGGCGGCGGCGGCGGTGGCGGTGGCCTCGCAGTTGTCGGAGGTCGAGCAGCGGGCGGAGACCGCCGAGAACCTCGCCGCCGAGAGGAGCAAGAGGCTCCGGGAGGTCGAGGCGTCGGCGGCGAAGCAGATCGGGGAGCTGGACCACCGCGCGGAGACCGCGGAGCTCCTGGCGGCGGAGCGGGCGAAGCAGATCCTGGTGCTCGAGCAGCGGGGCGAGAGCGTCGCCTCTCTCGCGGCAGAGCGGGCGAGGCAGGTCGGGGAGCTCGAGCAGCGCGGCGAGAGCGTTGGGTCGCTGGCGGCCGAGAGGGGCAAGCAGATGGCCGTGTTCGAGGAGCGCGCGGACAGGGCAAAGTCTCTCGCCGGGACGCAGGCGAAGCACATCGCGGAGCTCGAGCAACGGTCCGATCGCTTGGGGTCGCTGGCGGCGAAGCGCGCCAAGCAGCTCCTGGACGTGGAGGCGAACACGACGAAGCAGATCGACGAGCTGCAGCAGCGGGCGGACGGCGCGGAGGCCAAGACGAAGGACTTGAAGAAGCTGCTTCTCGAGCAGGACCACCGCGCAAAGACCGCGGAGCTCCTGGCGGCGGAGCGGGCGAAGCAGATCGTGGTGCTGGAGCAGCGGGGTGACAACACCACCTCCCTGGCGCTGGAGCGGGCCAAGCAGCTCGGGGAGCTGGAGCAGCGCGTCGACAGCGCGGCCTCCTTGGCCGCCGAGCGGGCGAAGCAGATCGCCCACATCGAGTCCGTCACGGCGAAGCAGATCGAGGAGCTGGAGCAGCGGGTCGAGAGCGCCGTCAGCCTCGTGGTGGAGCGGGGCAAGAGGATCGGGGAGCTCGAGCAGCGCGTCGAGAGGTCGGAAGCGGAGGCGGCGGCGGCGATCCAGTCCGGCGAGGCTGGGGCCGCCGGGGCCGCCGCCGCGGCGGCTAAGCTGATCGAGGAGCTGGAGCAACGCCTGGAGAGCGCCCAGGGCGAGGCGGCCGCAGCGGTGACGCTCATCACCGAGCTGGAGCAGCGCGTCGAGAGCGCCGACTTCCTTGCGGTCGAGCGGGCGAAAAAGATCGACCACCTCAACGTGACCACGGCGAAGCAGATCGGGGACCTGGAGCAGCGGGTCGAGGCGGCCGAGGCCCTCGCGGCCGAGAGGGCGGATATGGTGGAGGAGCTGACCCGGCGGGCGGAGGGCGCGATCGCGGCGGCGGCGGCGGCGCAGGAGCAGGTGGACGACGTGGAGGCGTCGGCGAGGCAGCGGGAGCTGTCGGCTTCGCGCGCTCTTGAGGCGAGTTGGCGTCTTCTGTGCCTTGTTGGTCTCGCGATCCGTCGGTCCTGTACTGCTGTGTGTGTACATTACCGCTTTGTGTTAGGTGCTGTACAGTCAGAGTGCTAGGGGTATTGACTTTGTACCACGGTTTTGTGCGCACACTGTGTTTGCTTTTTGAGGGTTGTGACGTTTTGTTGCCTCAGTCGAGACGGTGGAGACGGAGAGGGAAGAGAGAAAATAACCCTTTTGTGGCGTCCGTAGCTGTACAGCACCACCGTCCGTGTGACTCCACTCCGGCTGTTGTATCAGAAGGACATGGCACCGAACAGGCGTCAAACTGAACTCTGCAGCATAGGTGGGAGGAGAACGAAGCTTACACACCCATTATGTTTGTCTCTCTCTCTCTCTCTCTCTCTCTCTCTCTCTGTGTCTCTCTCTCTCTTGTCGCTCAGTCGACCGTGAGGATGGAGGAAGAGGCAAGGTTGTTGAAGGCGGAGGCTACGGCGTCTTTGCAGCTGGCCCAAGAGAGGATCAGACAGGTCGAGAAGCGGTCGGAGAGGATGCTCAAGGAGGCCATGGAAGGTGTGTTGGCGAGATGTTGTGACTGCCGTTAATAATTAATAGGGTTGGTTGTTGTATAGTCGACGCAGCATTGTACTATTGTGCATATGATTCAGGAGGGTATGGATGGCAGAGGGTGTATTGATCATGTCACTGGAGAACAAACGGAAGGGAAGCAATGCATGTTTCTTGTTGGTGTCCATGCTGTCGCTTTGTTTTGCGTGACAGTAACGAAAACTGGCCTCTGTTGCATGTACCTTCTCCCGGTGCTGGTTGGTGCCGGTTAGTGGTTAGAGACAGATGGAACCCGACTTGGTCACTTGGTCGGTTCCGCTCTCGACGAAATTGTGATGCGAGTGATATTTTGTCCATCACAAAAGACAGCAATGGCAGATATTGGTGTTCCGGCAGCCCCACGAAATTGGCCACGCAGACACCGACACGCGGAAGGCCCAGTGTAGCGTATCCCTAGTACCCCTATTGTTGCCTAACATCTAGACGCTGCGTCTTTTGGGAAACACGAAACAACACCTCCATCCTACCCCTCCTTCCCTTCCACCACACGGACCCCCCCTCCCCCCCCCCCCCCCCCCCCC